TTCGTTTGCACGTTCCCCTGCTCGTCGAAAAGATACCGACCATCAGGCATCACCAGTTTCGACGGCGGCAGACCTCGCACAAACGCCACTATCTTCAGATAAGCGGCCATGTCCCTCTTGTCGAGGGTCCCAGCCCGCACTATAAATCGGTATGTTCCGTGGTTGAAATGCTCCGAAGTCCACAGCAAATGCACCCTCGGAAGCCACGCGACAAACTGCTAACCATCCACCACTCGGTGAATAGAGAGTCTACCCCATCTCTTGTGATCGGCCTCACGAGGTAGAAGCGACCTTTAAAATCTCGGACGGAGTCCATGTACGTTTTGAAGAGTGTTGTCGGCTGCTTAAACGAGACCCAACCATGTCGACTATTCACCGTTTGCCGCTGCAGGTGGAAAATACGGAAAAATAAGGGTACCGTGGCTTCGACCTGGAGAAAGCGACACACCAGCTCGAACGCACGGATAAAGGGCAAGGCGTTGGGATGCAGCTGAGACGGGGCCAGACGCAGCCAGTCGAAAAGACCCAAGTGAAAATTGGAGAATGGCAGTCTGAGCCGGGCCTCTTTGAAATAAAACTCGTGCATGGGAAATGTCTGCCGCCCATATCTCGAGCAGACGCGGCGATGTTCCTTGGGACGGTACACTTGCCAGTTCTGCGGCTCTCCCTCCACCCGGTCCTCCATAGTGGTATGGGCGCCAGACGTGTCAAAAGCAAAACAAGAAGGGGAGGATAGAGGCTCCTCGGCCACCCATTCCTCGATGGGGAGAACTCTCTCGTTAAAATCTGGAACCTCGGGCTCGTTGTCTTCGACCATCGTCCCCGGGATCAAGGCCGACATGAACACCTGAAAAGCAGAGGATAACAGTGAATTCGATAGCCAAGATCAAATCCACCCTTCCACCGCAGGTCAAGTGAAAGGGCGACGAGGGCGGTTCGCGAACAGAAGACACAACGCCCGAGCAAGCTCCCGAGGAGCATTTCCCCACTACTTCTCCACGGGACGTTCAAACTAACCTATCGCTCCTCCTCGGGGGCTTCATCGGAAGAAGCACCCGTCCCCGGGGCATTCATCGGAGTAATCGATCCTCCCCGGCGTATTCATCTAAACAACCTTAAAACTCCGTCAACTACGGCGGAGATTCGCGTTTCTCCTCGGGGAACTCATCGTGCCATGACCACGAACCCAGAATAAACGGCGAAAATAAAAGAAAGGAGGAAGAAAACTCACTTTATAGCGGCGGTTGACGGAATGCAAGACGGACGACACGACTACAATTCACGGCGATGACGGACGGGGCGGAACGACAGAGCTTCGTAAGTAAAAAAGGCAAGGTGAAAAGTAAAAATGTGCGGGGACTCCCATATTTATAACCCGGCGCGGAACTCGAACCGACACTAGACCCTTGAGTGCCCTAGGGTAGGCGCCCTCACGCCCACTCAATACGTGACACGTGGCGGTAAGCTGACAGTCGCGTCCCTTCAAATGCCTTTGCCCCGCACACCCAGCGACGTGGAGAGACCTTCGCGCACACGCACCTCGCCGAGCACGAGCCGACGGAGTCTCGCACCTTGCGACCTTCTTCCCCGGAACAACATTCTCAAGTCCTCGCTCTTCCACCGAAGAGCTTCGACTTGGGGGGCTCCTGTTCTGGCCTGGACCCTGGCCTCACCTCGCAGCCCAGTCCAAATGATAGACAATAAAGGCCCAATATGCTTCAAGTAGGCTGACCGAGCACGTGACCCCTCGACGGGCGGGGCGTGCTCCCGTCGAGCAGAAGAGCGTGCCTCAAGACATCCTCGGCGCTCCCCCCCTTCGCGGGGAGGCGCTACCAACCAATGTCCCTCGTCGGGCAGAACAACCCTCCACGGGCAGAATCCCCAAACCAACGAGCAGGACAACATGCCTCTCCCACGCCCTCGTGTGCTCCCCTCCGCAGGGAGAACAACACACCTTCGGGGAACCCCGCGAGCCCCCCTCCACGGGGAGATCAACGTGTCAGTCGCACGTTCTCCACGTGCTCCCCTCCGCGGGGACACGTCACCGACCAACTGCCCACCTCCGAAAGAGCAAGTCAAACCCACTTTTCGAAGATCGCGGGACAGTTGGACTAGGGCGAAGACCACGTCTTGGTCTTCACTACGCCACGTAAGCCCTAGCAGTCACCTGGGTTGGGCCTGACAATTCATCCCAACGCAAGTGACCGTTGGCCCAACAGTGAGGTCTCTCTATAAATACCCTCTTTCACAAGAGGGCCAGGTAATTCACTTCTTACCCCTTTTTTTTGTGCTTGTGACCACTCTGCCCATATACTTACTTTGGCATCGGAGTGCCTTGCAGGTTCACCCCCTCCTCCTCCTCATCACCGGTGAGCAGACAGCAGTCCAACAGAGTGTGGCCAGCTAGTGATCCCCTTCTGATTAGGTCAGATCAATAAACCATATTTAAGATAATTTAGGACAAATTCAAAAAGAACAATTTAAGTTATTTTTTTCTTCTCGTATCATATATATGAATATATATATATATATATATATATATATATATATATATATATATATATATATATATATATATATATATATATATATATATATATATATATATATATATATATATATATATATATATATATATATATATATATATATATATATATATATATATATATATATATAAGTATTTTTCTAAGCACTTATATGATAATATATTTGTGATATAAGTTTAATTATTGATAATAAAGACTTTTTTTTTTGACAAATATAAAACCCTTTTATTTATTAAAATATTTTGTACTATGGACACCATCTTGCAATTCAATTTTATTTCCTGCGTCAATGTCATGTGATATGATTGCACTAGTGGTTTCATAAAATACATGCCCAATATTTTCGAAGAAAGAAATTAGTAATAAGTAACAGCAGATGACATCCAAATGATGAAGATATTACAGCATTGTAATCATTGAAATTGTGACATCTGAATTATAATCTCTATAACCAAGAAAGTAGCAGTATTAATTACTTCTTTGGTGCTGAGTTATATCAAATAGGCCATACATTGAAAATAATCATGTCATATTTTGATTATGGTCATCATATGAGCCCTAAGATAATTCAGAAATTCCATGGTTACAATTTCATAACTGGCTAGAAACTTCATAGATATATCAAATGGTAAATAAAGAAGCTCACCTGCAACTTATGGTTATCACCGACAATAAGGGGTTGCTGGTTCACTCCCAAAAAGAAAACACATTCACGGCAGTTAGCAATACAAATCCGTTTTGCTGCCTGTCAAAGAAAAAGTGGAGTCAACTTCTTTCCTTCCATATAAGCACCAGCTATTCTAACAGCTGAGGTAGGCATAAGATCAGTAAAATGGCTTCTAGTTACCAAATCTTATCCAACATAGCAAACACCATATGCATAATACATACAATGGTCTTTAATATGACGGGTAAGTAATACCATATCTTTTGAAATAGAATGTTAAGTAATTTCATATCATTTATAAACTGTCTGCACATGAGCTCACTGACATCATCCTGGCATAGTCAGTCAGTCTAGATTCACATAAAGGGAAAACATTCTACAGATTCACATAAAGTGAAAACATTGTACAGATTCACATAAAGGGAATATACTGTACAGATTCAAGAAAGGGGAAATACAGCAAGGGGAAAAAAAGACCACAGCAGGAACTTTTGAGAGTCCTACTTCCTCCCACCCCGAAAGTGAAACCGACCTTCTCTCTTTCACTTGAAGCCCACTGAACAATTATCATATCTAATCCAACCACTTGTTAAGAACCAAGGAATTGAACTAAAATAGGGAGAATCTGTTAGAGAGGTTGAACATGACATTAAAACTGTCTTCGGCCAGTTTTATAGCAGTTATGGTTTATGTTATTAGTGGTAATTAATATATTACAAGTAGTAATGTTAATTAATTGTGCCAGTTATGTTTTATTATTGTGGTTATGTTTTTCTTTGTTTTAGACTGAGTGGTAATAAATAACTATTAGAAACTCACACACACAACCGTGAGTACCAAAGTAAAAACCCTGGTTATGGCGTCCAACCTAGCAATATCGGCTTTTGCGAGTTGAGCTAGGAGTTGAGTTGACCATAATGTGTTTATGTTTAGTATAAATAGAATAAGGGCCAGAGAGAATGGGATTATTGGGAAGTTATTGAGTGGTTATTGGGAGAGACCCGCCTCTTGAACCTTTGGGAAGGGAGAGATCCAAGACTCTCGAATTGTTGGGAGGAACCAAACTGGTCCTTGTCTTCTGTTTGTGTGTAATTTGTGTCAGTTTTCTTGTGAATTGTAACCATGTTCCAGAGTAGTTGTTGATTTAATATACAGAAAATTGTCCCACAATTTCCCTGGTTTGGACCAGTTCTATTAGAATCAAAACAATACTAGTGTATTATCGAAATTGAACAAGACAAAGGATTGGAATTTCCCCAAGAGTTTCCTCCTCACTCGCAATATCAAATGTACAGAATGCCTCTCTCCATCAATACTTAATCTGCTTATACAAATTATTCCCCCTAGTTCCTAACTGTTCCTGAATTCTAACAGCATCATCTTCCCTGTATATTATCTTACCCTTAAATATGATAATTGCATTTTATTTTACTCATTCTGATAGGAAGACAAATTCCATATTATTGTCTGTATATGTATAGACTCATTACGTTGCTTTTGAAAACAAGACACAAAGTTACTACTAGTTGTTACCTTTCCAACTGCTCCAATAACTATTCTCACATCTGAACATCCATAGATGGTGGCGTATCTCAAAGGTGCTAAGATGTAAATGGCAGAGTCATGGAAATTTAGAAATGGGCTTAATAGAAGCCCAATAATTTGAGTAAGCTATGAGGCCCATTCTCCCAGCATAGATAGCGGTTTATCAGTTACCACTTTTTTGTTAACCTCTCTCAGTTATATGCATTCCATTTCAATTCAAAAATTAACCTTTTTCCTACATGGGCAATGTCATTGATTCCTTTGCTTCAGGATTCGGAGAAGCCGTTGGAAAATTATTCAATTCTCCACTTGAATTTCTCTCTGGTAAATCTTGTAGGTAAGTAATATACCATTCAAAATCACCAATAACTCTACAGTGTGACATTTCATAGTTCAATAATCATATTTACACAATGCCTATGTAAATTTCAAGACTAGTTTTGCTTAGAGTGCAGTAATTTCATCAAAGTTTTTAATCTCAATCGTAAAGTTTGATTTAGTACCGGCGGATGATAAAGTGTCCAAGGAAAACAGAATTTTGAAATTTTGTTATGGTTAAACTGTGGCTGAATATGACTTATTAGGATTTATTACACATTTTCTAGGGTTAAATTACGGCTAAATATGACTTATTATGCTTTGTAAGGTTAAACTATGGCTAAATAGTAAATTTGAGTTTAGGATCTCCAAATTTTAAAGATGTTTGGATTTAGTTACAGGGGAAAGTTTAATGGTTAGATACGTGTGATTCTAATTTAGTTGATATATGGTTTTTCAGCTCAGTATGTGGACCAACATGGGATTTATTTTGCTATATTGAAAATTTTTGTGTTGCTAATCTATTGAAGCTGGGTGTGGTATTTGTTCTATTATACATTGGTAAGTTTTCAATTGTTTTTGTTATTTTGTTAATTGATATTTGATCATCACATTATGTTTCTGAAATTTGGTATGTATATTCTGTTTTCTCGCAGTTTTACTGTTCTGCTATGTTCTCCATAAATTAGGGGTATTTAAATGTTTATGTTACTCTGCTTGCAAAATTTCATGGGCTTGTTGCTCTACTTGTTTTCACATTTGGGAGTATTCATGTACTTTCTTATGTGTTAAACTTCATAATGTCAAGAGGAAGAGAAGAAGAAGAAGGGTTAGAATGAGAATGAATCAGAAAGTTTACTCTACAAGTGAAGAAGATTGCGTTGACGAAAGCCTTTCGTGTGATTTTCCGACATTGGAAGTAAGTAGATCGTTTTCGCATCGAAGGCGAGACTATAAAGGCTCGCATTTAAGAAAGTCTTTGAAGCCGAAACGGGGTCATGCTCAAGTTGAAATTAGTAGAGATCTTAGTTATAATAAGAATAGAAGGAGTCATAGTATTAGAGATCATAGTTACACAGGTCATGCTGATATTAAGCACACAGGTCATGAGATTAAGGTAACACAGACATCAAAGTTTGCTAGAAAAGGTATGAGTAATAGGAAAAAAGTTGTTAGAAGACAGAGGAAATAGAATATTTTAAAGGGTATATATGTTGTTAATGTATGCTTGTGTTAAAACACTTTTATTGTTTCCATCTTATTCTTTAATCTTGATATGAATTGTGAAGAAGTGGTTTTCTGCTAGTACATATGTTTCCTGTCTCAAAAATTTGACAAATATATGCATAGTAATCAATGAAGCATGAACACCGGTGTGTCGCAGCGTGAGTCACGCGTCAGTGTTCGACATTTATATGACATTCGTACGATACGTGATGTAAAAGTCAGAAAGGTATCGGAAAAGTCAAACAAATGTCATAAATTAAATGGTTTTTTCTTTGCTTCGACACTCTTTAAGTCGGTGTCTAACACCCATATGACACTCATACAACACGTTATACATTTTTCTAACAAATCACGCACACATTTAAAATGGTTAAACATGTATAAAAACAATGTGATCAACGAAAAATTAAAGACATTGATTTTGATTAAAATATTTTTAACTCTTTTAGTAATAGATAGATAAATGAAACTCAAATACTATCATATATGTAGCGGTGCCGGTGGTGCCGATGTCTTACTATCATAGTAATAATTTAATACAAAAATGAATGTTCTGTTTTGGAGTAAGGTATATTGTTACTTATGGAGAATGTTCTGCTATGTTGCTTTGCACAAAAGGTTAACTTATTCAAAAAGAAAGTCCAAAGTTTATGACCATTTTGTTGGTAATGCTAAGATAGGACCTTGGAATAGACAAGAATCTGGAATATTATGAATCCATGATTAAAGGATTTCCATTACTTGACATTGAAGTTTTGTTCATCTCAAAAGAAATCTAAAAAAGTATGCTTTTATATGTTCATCTTCATGTTCATCATCTCAAATTCCTCAAGTGTCTTGTTCTATTCTCAATCCCTTGATTGTTCCGCAATATCTTTTTTTTTTCCTTCGATGGAGCGCGACGAGGGAAAACAATCTTCTCAAAAGAATCCATACACAGAACTTGAGGAAGTTAGCTCTGACTTTCTTCTAGCAATTGGTTTGCAAGAACAAGAGTCAGAGAGAACAACATTCACAAATCTCGCAACCATTGAAAGTGAAAGCGAAGAAGAAGATTTATCAAGTGACTCCTCTTTTATTAATGATGATATTATTGGTGATGCTGATTTTACTTTAAGCCAGGAGTTCGAAGCCGATCTCCGGTTTCTTGAAGACGAAGAAAGCAATATCGACGACGACGAGGACTACGACGAAGATGAAATGGATATAGAAGAAGACGAGGTTGATCCCGATGAATTATCGTACGAAGAGTTGATCGAGTTAGGCGAGTTTATAGGAGAAGAAGCAAGAGGATTATCAAGAAAGGAAATTTCTACTTGCTTAAATCCTTATACTTGCAAAACTTCTGAAAGCAAAAGTGGAATAGATCTTTGTGTGATTTGCCAGATTGAATATGAAGAAGGTGAAGCTTTGGTTGCACTTCATTGTGAACATCCTTATCATAAAGATTGCATAAGCAAATGGCTTCAAATTAAGAAGGTTTGTCCAATTTGTAGCAATGAAGCATCAACTCCAAACAAAGCTAAGAACCCTTGATTTATTAAGATTTTTAAATTTATGTGTTTAAAATTATTGTAATATTCATTTGAATGAAAAACTATAGTTGAAAAATAAAAATATTGAAGCTAGCTTTGTATCTTATAAAATTTTTCTAGGCATACATAGAATTGGAGGGTGTGAAATAAAATTTCCGGGTTAGACTCACTCGAGCCCACACAGGAGCCTGAATGAAATGGGCTTAATAGAAGCCCAATAATTTGAGTAAGCTATGAGGCCCATTCTCCCAGCATAGATAACGGTTTACCAGTTACCACTTTTTTGTTAACCTCTGTCAGTTATATGCATTCCATTTCAATTCAAAAATTAACCTTTTTCCTACATGGGCAACGTCATTGATTCCTTTGCTTCAGGATTCGGAGAAGCCGTTGGAAAATTATTCAATTCTCCACTTGAATTTCTCTCTGGTAAATCTTGTAGGTAAGTAATATACCATTCAAAACCATCAATAACTGTATAGTGTGACATTTCATAGTTCAATAATCATATTTACACAATGCCTATGTGAATTTCAAGACTAGTTCTGCTTAGAGTGCAGTAATTTCATCACAGTTTTTAATCTCAATCGTAAAGTTTGATTTAGTACCGGAGGATGATAAGGTGTCCAAGGAAGACTGGATTTTGAAATTTTGTTAGGGTTAAACTGCTGTTGAATATGACTTATTAGAATTTATTACACATTTTCTAGGGTTAAATTACGGCTAAATATGACTTATTACACTTTGTAAGGTTAAATTATGGCTAAATAGTAAATTTGAGTATAGGACGTTCAAATTTTTAAGATGTCTGGATTTAGTTATAGTGAAATTTAGTTGTTCCATCGTAAATGTGTGATTCTAACTTAGTTGATATATGATTTTTCAGCTCAGTATGTGGACCAACATGGGATTTATTTTGCTATATTGAAATTTTTTGTGTTGCTAACCTATTGAAGCTGGGTGTGGTATTTGTTCCATTATACATTGGTAAGTTTTCAATTGTTTTTGTTATTTTGTTAATTGATATTTGATTATCACATTATGTTACTGAAATTCGGTATGTATATTCTGTTTTCTCGCAGTTTTATTGTTCTTCTATGTTCTCCATAAATTAGGGGTATTTAAATGTTTATGTTACTCTGCTTGCAAAATTTCATGGGCTTGTTGCTCTACTTGTTTTCACATTTGGGAGTATTCATGTACTTTCTTATGTGTTAAACTACATAATGTCGAGAGGAAGAGAAGAAGAAGAAGGGTTAGAATGAGAATGAATCAGAAAGTTTACTCTACAAGTGAAGAAGATTACGTTGACGAAAGCCTTTCGTGTGATTTCCCGACATTGGAAGTAAGTAGATCGTTTTCGCGTCAAAGGCGAGACTATAAAGGCTCGCATTTAAGAAAGTCTTTGAAGCCGAAACGGGGTCATGCTCAAGTTGAAATTAGTAGAGATCTTAGTTATAATAAGAATAGAAGGAGTCATAGTATTAGAGATCATAGTTACACAGGTCATGCTGATATTAAGCACACAGGTCATGAGATTAAGGTAACACAGACATCAAAGTTTGCTAGAAAAGGTATGAGTAATAGGAAAAAAGTTGTTAGAAGACAGAGGAAATAGAATATTTTAAAGGGTATATATGTTGTTAATGTATGCTTGTGTTAAAACACTTTTATTGTTTCCATCATATTCTTTAATCTTGAGATGAATTGTGAAGTGGTTTTCTGCTAGGACATATGTTTCCTGTCTCAAAAATTTGACAAATATATGCATAGTAATCAATGAAGCATGAACACCGGGAGTAGGTGTGTCGCGGTGTGAGTTACGCGTCAGTGTTCGACATTTGTATGACATTTGTGTGACACTGATATGTTATTTTTAGCCAAAACAAATTGATTATTTGTAAAAATGAACGGCATTTTAGGGGTATCAAATTTTCTAGGCATACATAGAATTGGAGGGTTCTTACAACAATTTGAGCAAGAATATCCCACGTGCAATTTGATTCTGTGGAGATATAATGTCTTTATCAATTGAAAATAAAATGCTGTTCATATTTTTTGTCTCTTTTGCGCACAATATATTATAATGATTGAGCTTTACTAGTGGATGTGCAAGTGAAATAGTCATTTTTATCTTGTGTTGCAGGAATTTAAGCCACAATTTCTTAATTGGACCCATTGGTGACATATTTACTGGCTTAGACAATCTCAAAGAAATGTATGGCTTCTTCTCTTGGGTCTTGTGGTATTTGCATTTGATTTCAATAATATGAATAACTGACTAAACCAGTACGAAATTTTAGGTACCTGCATCCTTGAATTTTCTGGATTTGTGAGACCATATCATGAATGCAAACTGAACTTTTCCAGCCTAAAAAAAAAGGATCAAATAGTATATGTAAGACTATAACCATATAGAATAGAATATATTAAAGAAAGAAAACCATTCAACTAGAGAATAAATTAAATCAAAACACAGATGGCTTCTCCTCTTTATTGATATCTTGTTGAAGATGTGTAAAAGTTGAGAAGCGCCGGAGATAGACGTCCATAAAAAAATATAAATATTTTCTAAGTTTCACAGATTTTAAGGGCTATGATAAGACTGGCGTAATGAAAATTAGATCTGACTGGCTTTTGAGAAAATCAGATTAACAAAATACAGATGCATTGACTGTTTTGTCCAAATTTCATTAAATGGAACCTCACGAAGGGTGATTTCCTTTCTTCGGGGACCTTTCATACAATAATATCTCGGGAGATCTACCAAGATCGTTTGGTTCCTTGACAAACCTTGCTAGATTGTAAACTTCTTCCTTCTTGTGCTTTTATTTTCTCTAAACTTGATATATGTAACATCATATTTTTAATTTTTGAAGGAATAAGTTTTCCTTATAGGGCTAGGTTGGTTTGATATGAAAATTGGTGCTTATTTGCAGGTTCTTGCAGAATAACAGATTCACTGGATCAGTCACCTACCTGGCGGAACTTCCACTTACAGCTTTGTAGGATTATCTCTAACATTTTCTCAATATATATTTACAGCTTTACTATTTGCTTATTTGTCTGTGTTGCCAGGATCATTCAAGATAATCTATTTAGTGGCCTTCTTCCACATCATTTTCAGAATATAAAAAAATTATGGTTAGTGACAACAATTACAAATTTGCTCACCATGTTTTATTATTTCAAACACAAGTGGACACTTAAGATAGTAATCATCCCCTCTACCCTAAAATAGCAACCTTCTGGGAGAGGGATCTCTTGGTCCTGTTTACAAAGCTAAATTTTCTGATGGCAAAGTACAATCTCAAGCTTTTTTTCGAACACTGAAATTTTGTTTTTATCACATTTATGTTTCAAATTAACAATTTTTTGTTGTTGAAGATTTTTGCCGTGAAGATCATAAACATGGCGGGTTTGTCTTACCGAGAAGAGGAAATGTTCTTGGATGTCATTTGCACAGCTTCCAAACTGAAGCACCCCAACATCATACCACTCAATGGTTACTGTTTGGAGCACGGAGAGCATCTTCTTGTTTATGACTACTTTGAAAATTTAACTCTATATGATGCTCTTCATAGTGGAGCATGTGAAACACTATCGTGGGCCCAACGTCTTCGGATTGCTCTAGGTGTTGCTCAGGCTTTGCAGTGAGTTACTCTAAATCTTAAAAGTAGAACCATAGGTAATGCTGTCTTAACTCTAAAAAGTCATTGAAATGTTTTCAGCTATTTGCACTCAGCATGCTACCCGCCTGTGGCCCATGGTAATTTGAAGTCTGCCAACATTATACTGGATGAAAATTTGATGCCTCGTGTTTGTGACAGTAGCTTGGCTATTTTGAGACCACTGACAATGGTTCTAGCGGCTAAAGTTTTTGATAAGGTTCTGTGGCTAAAGTTATAATTGGCATCAAGCTTTAGTTTTATTACTTGAAACTCATTGGCAAATTACTATTATATATGCTTGCGTTGCTTTTATTTCATCTCTTGGGGTGGTTTTAAGTTGTCATTCTTTTTCATAATTTACATCAACTGAAATATTTTGGTATACTTGAAGATGAAGGTGATGTTTTCCTTGTTCTTCAATAACTATATTTTTCAGGAAGGGGAATAGCACTTTTTTAGATACAATAGCTAAAGATGTAAGATTTTAAGTAAAAAAGGGTTGATTGTTATATTTAAAATAATTATAGATTAAATTCAAATGAATTTAAGTTATCAGAAACTAAAATGGTGGTGGTAAAATTATTTAAGACAATACAGTTAAACCTCAATTTTACAAAACCAGCTGTTGCAATCTGAATCAGGAGCTTGGTAATGATCTTAAATATGACCGTTTAGATCATTATTGGAGACAGGCTACTGATCAATTTGGCGACTATTGGAAACAGGCTACTGAGACTACAATTGCAGAGAGAGGCTACGCTCCATCTGATCATGGCCAAACAGGGATCCGCAGAAGGAGAGATGTCTTTGCCTTTGGTGTATTGCTTCTGGAATTGTTAACAGGAAGGAAACCTTTTGATGGGTATGTTTTTCATCCATATTGTGGTGTCTCCTCTAATATATTTTTATGCCCACTTATAAAGAATACAAGTGTTGTTTCATTAAATGATGGCTACTATTTTCTTTCAATACATTATAGTGCCAGGCCAAGGGAAGAGCAATATCTGACAAAATGGGCTTTCCCAAGGCTTCGTGATAGCGCGAGTTTGGAACAGATAGTAGATCCCAGTATGAAAACAACATTTTCATTCAAGGCACTTTCTTGTTATGTTGATCTCATCTCCCTCTGTATACAGGTATTAACACCTAATCTTATAATTAAAACTGAATAAGAAATTGAAAAACTTCAGTAACTGTGTCTTTTGAACAGCCTTCAAAACAACTCCGTCCCCCAATGTCTGAAGTTGTGAACTCTCTTGTATCCTTTTCCCAAAAGTTCAACTTTGCAAAGACCAGTGTAGCAGACGGTACTGATCTATGTGAGCAGTCTCTCCGATCAGCAGACACACGCTTTAAAAGTTCGCCAACATTTAGCCATCTATCAGCTTGATGTACATCATCTGTTTGTGTTATAGAAACCAGCTGGATGACGTTAATGAGCTAGAAATTTGCAGTTAATGCCAGTTCCAGCACCTTTCTCTGTAAATATCCTTCTGTTCAGTCCTCCTATACGAGTTTTTTTTAGTTTTTTTTTGTAGAATAGTCCTACTACATGAGATTACTTGTGTCGCCTGTAGAAGGAAGCGAAAAATGAATTAATGAACATTTTGTAATTCTTTTTTTTGTTGAAAATGGAAGATATGATCTTAGCTCTACCTCAAATAAATAAATAAATAAATAAATAAATAGGGATTCGAAACATGATAATAGATTATTTATAGTTATAGTGTATACACTATAAATAATTGGCATTTATGTATGTGATTGAACTCGTCATTAATATACTTTATTTAAAGAACAAATTGTTCAGGAGAATCTAAATTAAAATTAGTTTAAATTAGATTTTATTTATTTTTCGATTAAACTCTGGAATGCTTTGCGCCTCTGTCCTGGAGAAAAATATTAGGATTTGGGTGATGAGGAGAAAGTAAAGTGAGCTTAGTCCTTAAAAATAAAAGAGCTTAGCCCCTAAAATTATAAAATCAGCAATTCAATAAATTTTGAGCTTATTTGTTTTAGTGTTTTTTTAAAATGATTTTTAAAGTGTAATATATTTTTGTGTAAAATTTTATAAATAAATTTTTTATAAAAATTTTAAATGAAAATTTATTTTAAATAATTATTTTTAAAATATTATTTTAAGTATTTTATTATTTAATCGAATTTTTTAATAAATATTAAAATTTAAAAACTTTCTTAATTTTAAAATTATTGCAAATAGTTTTTTGCAAAAATTATTTTTAAAATATAACTTTTTAAAAAAACTGCAATTTTGACTATACTTTATTTTTATTTTTCAATAACGTTATACTAAATCAAAATTAATCTTTTAATTTATAGGAAGTAAATTTTTAAAAAAATTATATATTTATAAAAAAATATTTTTGTAGAATAAAAAAATTATTTTTTTAAAGTTAAAATAAATTGAATCTTAGTCATTTTTTTAAAGTTTAAGTCATTTTAAATATTTTTTTTAGTTTGTCTTAATAGAAAAAAAACTATTTGATTTATTTAAATTTATTTGTTTATATTTTTTTTGAGATGAATTTATAAAACTACTATCAATTTATATCTGTAAACCATATTTAAGATAATTTAAGACAAACTTAAAAAGAATAATTGAAGTTATTTTTTTCTTCTCGTATCATTTATATGAACATATATATAAGTATTTTTCTAAGCACTTATATGATAATATATTTATGATATAAGTTTAATTATCGATAATAAAGACTTTTTTTTTGACAAATATAAAACCCTTTTATTTATTAAAATATTTTGGTGAGATGATTATTTTATTAGTATTATCTAAAGAGATCAATTTATTAATTTGTAACTCAATTTTACAATTTGAAGACAATAAAATACAGATTTACTATCATAAAATTTCAGAGTAAAAGGAAAAACAAGTTTCGAGCAAAGTTGGAGTAGGATCGAACGCAACGCTGCGAAGTGTGGAGGCAGCTGAGACAGAATTCGGAGTAGCTTCATAATCCCAACTCAATTTCTCTCAGGTACGCTTCCCTTTTCCCTAACCCTATCGTTTCTCTCTTCATCAACATCATATCATCGTTTCTCTATACACCTTTTAGGGTTTTCATTCTCATTCCCCTTTTAACTACCATATTTTTCAACAATGTTCTTCGATCTGAATTCTTTATCAACATCATTATTATTTCTATTCTCCGTTTCACGAATTCTAATGTTTTTCCAATTCGGCTTATGCTATATTCTAGATTCAGCAAAATATAATCGAATCGTGCATTTTTTTAATCAATGGATTTTTTTTCCAATTAAAAACCTAAGAAAATGAAATAACGTTCAGTGTTTTATTTTATTTTATTTAAGCTTTATGATGTTTACACGTTTAAACTATTTTATTTTGATTTTGGGAATTTTTTTTTTGGTGTGCAGTGATAATAATGGACCCAGCAGAACGTAGGTACTTGGAGGATGAGGATTCATCACTCATGAAAACTTTTAAGGGTGCAACAACTGGTTTAGTGGCTGGCACTATCTGGGGCACTGTAGTTGCAACATGGTATGATGTTCCTCGTGTTGAGAGAAGTGTTGCTCTTCCTGGGTTGTTAAGAACTTTCAAGATGATGGGGGGCTATGGAGCGACCTTTGCTGCTATAGGAGGAGTCTACATTGGTGTCGAACAATTGGTGCAGAACTACAGGGGCAAGAGGGATCTTGTAAATGGTGCTGTTGGTGGTTTTGTTGCTGGTGCATCTATTCTCGGTTACAGAGGTATCTCTATCATCAAATAATTATCCGAAAATTTTCATATTTTCACATATAGATATTGAAATATTGCTACTGTTGTTAAGCAGAGTCAGTATTTTTGTGGATAACAGTGTAAAGTTCAATCAGTGCCTGTTTTTTCTATAATTTAATTTGGAAATGCTAGTGGGTAAGCATCATACTTGATCCAGTTCATTTTGGAAATTAGGACAATTATATGTCGTGTTTTTGCTTCCTTTTGACACGATTATCTCATTGTGCTAAATGACTGCTGGTGCTATCAATGTTTATTAGAATAACACTTGTATGATATTTGCTGGAGTCTGTTATCAAACTAATGCTGAGTGTGCTATGTTGTCTGTTACAGCTGTTGGATAGTTAATTAATTAGATAATTAGGATTCTCAACCAAGGTTGTCAAGATTGAGATCTTACTTAGGATTGTGATGGGGGCAGTATGATCATAAAGCGTAGGATTGTAACTAGAATCATAAGATCCTACCAAACTGAGAAATTGTATTAAATTACTAATAATCTTAGGGGGCATATCAAGTGACAGGAATTCTTATATTTAGAGATGTGAGGAACAAAAAACAGCCATTAGATCAAATAAACAGCCGTGATTAAATAATTCGTTAAAGAATACACATGACTGTTTAGCTCCTTTCTCTCTCGCATGTCTGTTTTTGCTTTTTTTCAAAATTTCAAAACTTTCATTCTTCTGATAGTTCAGTATATCCAATTTGATATCTTCAGAAACTACATGTGGAAGCCATTTTTCCAACTTGAAAGTTGAAACAAAGTGCTAAATCTGATGGTAGTTTTTTTTGACAGAGCTTTCCTATTCTTTTTTAAAACCGCTGGAAGCTATTTCTTCCAATAGAACTTTCTCTGGAAAAAAAAAAAGGTTGTCTACTATTTTGCTTAAGATCAATCAACCCCTATTTTTCTAATTAAAATCAACCTCTATTCTTTTGTTTAAAATTAATAAACTTCTATTTTTATTTTATGAAAATCCACCCCTACTTCTTTTGATGAAATTCAACTATCAAAAAGAAATTACGAACAGGTAAACTACTGCACTTAAATGTGACATTTGATCCATTACAAAACATTGGAGAAGAGAGGAACAGTAGTGTGTGAAAAAGAGAGAGGAGGTTATGAGTCACGTGTATCTTATAATGAATCATTTAATCACATATGTTTATTCAATCTAATAGTTCTTATTTGTTCCTCGTCTCTCATTATTAAAACTCCTCTCACTCGATATGCCCCTATATGTATATATACTAAATAAACATGAACAAATACTAAATTGGAATTTCATAATCACAAGTTTCATGAATCTCAATTAGCAACCCCTGACCTACTACCGACAATTGCAGCCCATCTGAAGTCATGATAATGCACAAGTAGAGAAGAACTTAGGATAGTCCATGCAGAGAAAAAACAAATAAGTGAAGAGCTTCTTAGGAGAGATGACTACAAAGCAACTGCAGAGAGGCCGGCGGAGAAGTAACTGATGGGGGGGAGAGACAGCTCATAGAGATTGAGCATATCAGTGTCTTGTGTGAAAATGAGTAATTTCTAGGGTAGAAAACTGTGTTAAAAGACTGGTTTCAGGAATCAAGTAGCAACCTTTCAAGCTACCCCACCAAAATCTGATTTTACATTTGAGTTAGTTCTAATGGTTGTAAGATCATAAAACCGTCTGATCCTACTATCTAACTCACGTTCTTAACAACAATGTTCCCAACTATAAAATATATTTATGGTGTACTGATTAGTCCGTGACGAACGGGCTATGAATCCATGTCTGGTAGAGATGGTATAGTGACAGAAATAGGGATAGGAACTCAGTTAGAGAATTGGAGGGATGTTACACAAAAGATGGATGTTTTAAAGGGAATAGTGATGAAGAGGCTGGGGTCATGCAATGTAACATGATTATGAAGGGCATATAGTGTGGGGAGTAGGAGGGAATCCATTGGATGGACAGTATGGAGAAACAGCGTTTGTTTTCTCTGTATTTTTATTTCTCTGGTTATCAGTTCCCTATATTTCATTGCTTCAGTGTTCCGTAATTGAGAGTTTGCTCCCAGAGTTATTTCCATAATACTTTTGCGAAAGTTCCCTATCATATACATTGAATTCAGTTAATGCAACAGTATCGTACTGCTCTACGTGGTGCAAGTAGTTTTTTGCGTTAGATCTCACTGCTTTTTTAACAAGCTTTGCATGCTGTTGATTATACTGTAGGAAGGAGCATCTCAACAGCAATTTCTGCAGGTTCAGCATTGGCATTCACATCTGCCGTCCTTGATTTTGGGGGGCAGACATTAAAACATGATGAGGGGAGGGAGTATGCTGCATTAACTACAAAGAAAAGACCCAGTAACGATGCATAATTTTTAATTCATGCACCTTTATGACCAAAGACATTTCAAGTTGATTGGAGAGAGTGAATCACTCTTTGTTGAGCCAGATGGAATTACATACTCGATGTCATTCCATATTTTCTTTTGTAAGTTGTTGCTGAACCAGTTGAATTTCAATAAATGTACTATGTATTTTGTTTCTAAGAGATAAACTATAACGAAACTGAAATTCTTTGGTCCTATATACTGAATCTATTTTTGTTACCATAAGATATTTGAATCAGATTGAATTGTTGTTGAGCTATGGTGGTTCAGCCACTTTGTTTTTAATAGATATTAACATCAGTCATTTGGTTTAATTGTGTTTGAACTAATTAAACTTACTCAGAGGTCTTGCCATCTTATTTTTTATCTAACTTTTAAAACATTGATACAAATTTAACGTTTAAGGCCAACGCCGAAGGTGTTTTTCAAATGCGTGCAACTTCACTCAGAAATATTTTTCATTGGGAAACTAACAAAATTAGTTACACGGTTGATGAAGAAAAGGATTCATGGGAAGAGTGTACAAACAAGATGAAGTTTCACAACTGCAACAAAAAAATTAGGGGCAGGGGGATTAAGACTTAAGAAATAATTCAAATGGGGGAGTTCGATGAAGATGAAGATTTTCATTTATGGTGAAAAAAAAAAAAATTCTTCCAACACTGGTTTCGTCGTATGGATTAGGGGTGTCAAAATGGATGGAAAATGAATGGATTGGATGGATATGGATTGGATTGTTAATGGATGGATTAAAACAATCCATTAACCCATTAACAATCCACTAAAATTTTCTTAAAATTATCCAATCCATCCATTAAGAATAAACTCCATCCAATCCATCCATTAACATATTTTTAATGGATGTATATCCATCCATCCAACTTTTTTTTTATTTCGTAAAAATAAATATATTTTTTTATTTTTAAAAAATTAATTTTACTTTATTTTTGAAATTTTCATTTTTTGTATTTTTAAAAAAAAATTGATATTTTAATTTTTGAAAAATATTAGTTTTTTTTCAAAAAAAAAAGGTCGGGTTTTTTTCGAGAAAATATTTTATTTTATTTTTTTCGAAAAACAAATAAGTTTTTTATTTTGAAAAAAAAAATCGATTTTATTTTCAAAAAAGTCGGTTTTTTATTCTGAAAAAAAAACCATTTTTTTTTGGAAAAAAAATCGATTTTTTTTTCAAAAAAAAAATTGATTTTTTTTCAAAAAAAAGTCGGTTTTTTTTTCGAAAAACAAATCAGTTTTTTATTCTGGAAAAAAAAAACGATTTTTTTCAAAAAAAAGTCGGTTTTTTTCGAGAAATAATTTTATTTTTTTTTTCAAAAAACAAATCAGTTTTTTATTCTGAAAAAAAAAACTGATTTTTTTTTCAAAAAAAAAGTCGGTTTTTTTTCGAAAAAAGTTTTATTTTTTTTTCGAAAAACAAATCAGTTTTTTATTCTGAAAAAAAAAACCGATTTTTTTCGAAAAAAAGATAGATTTTTTTTTCAAAAAAATTAAACTTTAAAAAATATAGTTTTTTTAATTATTTTAGAAAAAATAAATCTAACGAAAATAAAAATAATCATTGGATCCTTAAAATATGTTGGATGGATTGAATTCATCCATGCATATAAATGGATGAATTTAATTCAATCCATTAACTTATTTTTTGTGTGGTGGATGGATTAAATTGATTTTTTCATTGATGGCAAAAATTGATTAAATTGATTTTTTCATTGATTTTTTCATTGATTAAATTGATTCAATTGCCACCTCTAGTATGGATATGCTTACATGGTGTCCCGGTACATGCTTGACATCATAAATTGTGTTGCGAAAATATGTATAACTACAGGAAATGTAATATATGTGGCCTTATGTTTTGGCCATGTAATATCAACAAATAATTAAATAATTTTGATGATGACAATTGTCTAACAGTTGTGTTGATGACAACTATCAAATAGTTATGTTGATGATAATTGTCAAAAAGTTTTTGATCATGACAAATTTTTTAAGGGGGTTCTAATGATGAATTTTGAAGAAAGAAAGAAATATCTCAAGTCTCATCAAATAAATGTTTTAAGTTTTAGTTGAAAGTGCTACACAATATTGAATCAAGTAAAAAAAAACTTGAAGATGTAAGGCGGTGATCTTGAAGTTGTGAATTTGAAGATTTGGAAGTGTAAAACTTCTTTAGATCCTGCACTTAAAGTTTTATTTAAGTTTGACCAATTAACCATAAAAGAACAAGAGGAAGTCTTAAGGTATTAAAAAATATGCGTACATCCACTTTCCAAATTTCTCTTCTCTTTTGATAAAAAAAATTTAAAACTTATTCATACAAGTGCTTAATTGATTAGAGGTTTGCTTATTAATTAGGAAGATAAAATACATCGATTAACCGATTAAGAGGTCCTTCTAATTGATTAATGAAAGTGTAATGTCTCCTAACCGATTAAGTGTTGTTTACATTCAAACTTTCCTATTTTAGCTTGGTCAATCGATTATTACATAATGTTATTCAATTAAATCATTAAAAGTCTCATGAATTTTTCCTTTTTGAACTAGATTTTTCCTATATAAAAGAGATTTATCGTCATTTCAAAACAAGTTAGTTTTCTGAATATAAACTATTTTTATCTTTATTTCTTTCACTTTCATAAAGTTCTTTTTAACTAGAGATATCATAGTGTAAATAGAGTAAAACGTTTTATCTAAGAGTTGTGTTGTACTGGTGTTTTGCGAAATTGTTTATTCAAGGGTGAAGTTCTCTTATAATTCTTTTGTAATATTTTTTAAGGGTGCATGCTAAATCTGTAAAAATATTGGGTGAAAGTTATTGAGTTAACCTTGTGTAACAACTTCGATTGTAAGGTTATTGAGGTAAGCATGTGTAAAAGTTCTGTTTGTTTAAGATTGTTGAGTTAAGTCTGTATAGAAACTCTAAGTTGTTTTGTAAGGTTGTTGGGTTGATCTTATGCAAAAGCTCAGAGAGTTTTATAAGGTTGTTGGGTTGATTATGTGAAAAATTCAAGGTTGTTTTAGTGAAAATCTCAAGAGAAAAATCTTAGATCCTAAAGTAAGATAGGTGGTTTAGGATGAACCAAGATAAACCTCTTGTGTGATCTTTCTATTCTTATCTTCTTTATTTTTTGTTATTTATTTTTATGTCACTACTTATTTATCTATTCCTTCTCATTTTTATTTTTCCACTGCTTAATCTCTATTTTCTAACATAAATCATTTTTAATCAAAGCGTTTTTATAAAATGGTTTTTGAAAATCGAATCAACATTCATCCGCTCTTGTGTTTGAAGTTAGTTGGTCAACAAGTGACATTATAACCTAACTCTTGTTATAAGACTTATCGTCCCACACAGTAGTATGATGACTTCAAATACTTATTTTAACATGATCAAACGAAAAATAATAAACACATTAGACCAAGAATAAAAGACATCAAATAAAAATGAATAAAATCTTCAAAGGCAGTTCTCTAGTATTAAAACTCTTGATAATGATTTCAAAAATTATATTTTTAACGAGCATCAAAGATTCAAGAATCGATATTTAAAACTTGATTCAATACTAAAATCTAAAGATACAAATATTATCAATGATTTACATGGTAAGTCAAATAAGGCAAAGATCATCAAGAAACTCAAAGAGATAATACAATAACTTAAATGTGAGGAAAAGATTAAAAAGAAAAATTCAGTTGTATCTAGAGTATCATCTAAAGAATCAAAGTAATATCAAAATTAGATGAAGAAACATCCATTTGAAGTATCTTCAGAAGATTCACAATAATCATCTAAAACATCATGTGAAGCATCATTTGAAGCATCATCTAAAGCAACATTTGGAGAATAAGATGAATATGTAAACTTTTATTTTAAAACTCCTTGTGAAGATGATTATGATGTAACCACTTTTTATTATAACCAATTGTTTAATTTAAGTGTAAAAATGTGTAAATAAAAATTATAAGTTAAAAAAATTCATTGTGACTTATAGAAATTATGTTAAATATCTTAAAGATGAACATGAAAAAATCATAGCTGAATTGAATCAATTTTAAAAATATGTTGCAAAATCTAGTATATGTGAAACTTGTGATTCTTTAAGAAGTAAAATTAAAGATTTGCGTGAAACTTTAAATAAGTTCACAAAAGTAGAAGATAATTTTGATAAGATCTTATCTAATTAGAGAGATTTGTACAATAAAACAGATATATCTTATCAACCAGATTATAACGCCAAGTCTATGGCTATATGTTTCACTAAAAAGAAAAAGAATCACACTATTTATAAATGTTATTATTTTTATAAATTTGAGTACTTTGAGTCGTATTATTTTAGAAAAATAAATTATTTAAAGGGGTCCATAAGATTTAACTATGATGACTTGAACCACTTTAAATCTACTAACACTAAAGGATCTAAAAATATTAGGATTTCAAAAGTTTAAACCTAATTTCTTTTGCATGAATGATTTTCAACTTCAAAAGCAAGTTGTCATATCATAAGAAGTTGTCCAAATCATTTATTCAGAGATTTCATATTTACGGGGGGATATTGTTTCAATCTTAAATTCTTTTAAAAGAATATGTGTAAGGAATAAATGGATTCTAAAATTTCTGCTCTCATCAAAAGATATGGATTCACTACATGGGTAAAGAAAGTTGAGTTTGCAAAAGAACCAAGAGGAAGACTTCTTCTAAAGTTTATTGGTAAAAGAGGTAATTCAATTGGTAGAAAATGAACTCAAAAAACTCCTATCATTATTCTAAAAATTATTTAATTATTGAATTTTTATTAATGTTAGACGTTAGACTTTGATTTAGAGGGGGGGGGGGGGTTGAATAGATCACAAATATAAAAAAATTAACTTTTGGCAAAAATAGTTTTCAAACGTTTTATGGCATAATAGTAACAATTTGAATCAAATCGTTTAACCGAATCTACTATCAAAAAACTCAGATATGCGTA